TTCAGCCTCTGACCACTAGTTGGCAGCAGTGAGCCAGACATTTGGCTACTCTACCTCTTGAGGTAGAGGCTATTGTTAAGTGTTGGGTGACCATATTGTAAATTAATATTAAAAACTTAGTCTAATAATTGAAAACATGGATGGAGTAGGAAATATGAAACAAATAAAATAAAATACATACAAAGCAGAACACAGCTAAATGTATCAAAAGTATGTCTATATTAGAATTTTCTGAGACAATGAATTTTGGTTTTTCATTCTTTCCCCCAGTAAGAGGTTTTTATTTAATAGAATTTTTGGACAAAAGAAATCGCAATATATCGCCTTGCTTATAGTATCGCAATTTATCGGGATATATCGTATCGTGACCCCTCTGTCATGATATGTATGTATTGCCAAATTCTTGCAAATACACAGCCCTTCTAAACGCACCACAAGACCCGTAGAGGTGCGTCCACCATAGACTTAGCCGCTCCTGCAGCTCAAAACGCGTTCGGTGTGAACGTAGCATTAGAGTCAGCCCATTTCAAGATGGATGCCACAGCTAAGTAAAGTTAATAAACACAAAACTCTGTCAAATTTACAGATACTGATGTAAAATATGGTGTGGTAGTAGCTGAGTCATCTCAATCATAAACTGTGAGCTCAGACACTGGTTTAAAACTTTTGCATGAGATTCAGTGGACAAAATGCACTTTGTCAAGAAGTGCTGCTTTTCAGTTTTATTTCTTTTTTGTTCTCTCACATACACAAAAATAAAGACAAGTAGAAATTTTGTACAATTTTTTTGTGTTTTTTTTTGTCTATAAATGTCAAAAAGCAACATTATCCTTTAGACAGTTTCTTGAACTTCTTTTCACCTGATTTTTCTTTTGTAACTTTAGTTTGTTTTATAAATTCACATTTCATATTTACACATTTAAAGGACTTATCAGAGCTTCATGTTTGCTCTAAAGCTAATGCTTCATTTCCATGCAAATTTATACAATAAAGTTTCTCACAATGCAATCATAGAGCCACCTGGGGTGCAGGAACAGTTACGGTTTGATCAAGAATGTGCCAACACAAACAAATAAGCAACACTAAACAGGATCTGACAAGTGTTTTATTCGATTCTTAGATCGGCTGTAAGGTGACGGTGCTGCTCTTCATCTATTTTCTGGCCACCAACTATTACTGGATCCTGGTGGAAGGCCTCTACCTGCACAGCCTCATCTTCATGGCGTTTCGGTCTGATTCCAAATACCTCTGGGGCTTTATTCTTATAGGCTGGGGTAAGTGATAATAGTTTTTTTTTCTTCTTCACATGCCACAAGGCAGCAAATCTAAAGCGTCTCTTCAAATTCATTTTCCTGTCACCTCATCTTTTTTGGTTATCAGTGCTGAAAGTGATAGAAAAYAGAACATCATGTAAATTTGTTTGATTTTACAAAGTAAACACCGTGTGCAGAATATGTTTCTTTGTGTTTTATTATGCATCAGCCTGCCCTTTTTCCATATTCAAATATTTTGCATAAAATCGTATYATTATGCGGTAGGTTGGATTGCCTTTTGATGTTCAGGGAACGCTCGAGGCAGGACTTTGTGATAAACAATCAGGCATCAAGTCAAACACAAAAGGTAAATGTTTAAAATGTGTCTAAAAAAGGTGGGATGGAGAGGGCAGAGAAAAACAAAAACATACAGGCTGTGGTGGTAAATTTATAACTCTGAGTTTGAGTTCTGTAAAAAAGAATAAAGCCATTTTAAAAGGGAATTGAACTGTTTTGTACAAAAATAAAAATAAAATCATTATTTTATGTGTTTTAATTTGCTTACATGAATTGTTTGCTGTTGATCAGTTCATTTTTAACAGTTTATTTTTCTGCTCTGCAGACCATGCAGCTGTACTTTGCAGTAAGATTAGTGCCTCAGTGAGAGAATGTTATCGTTGTGTTAAAAACTGGAGATGTAACCTGATCCAGAGCAGATCAGATATGAGATAAAAGATTAATATCTGCAAACGTATCGCCTCTCGCCAACTTACTGTCTTGAGAAGAAATTGGTGTGTAGATAGTGAGACTTATCTCTACTGCCAGAGTTAAATTGTTAATGTCCCATTTTTAGGGAAAAAGCTCAGCAGAAGCGTCTGTTGCCTAAAACCATCTGAGAATCCTAAAGTTTAATCTTTTTCATCTATTATATATGAAYACTACTGGACTATTTGAGATTTACACTCTGTTCATGACAAATAATCCTTTGAGAGCACATCAGACTCACTATAAACTACTTATAATTGAGGATATAATCATTTTTATTCCTACTGGGATCTTTAAAAWTGTTTATAGACCCATCAAAACCACAAATCTACTAAAACGTTTTTATATATTTTGACTGGATGATGGAAAGTAAAGATTATTAGGATTGATTATATTCATTGTTTAGCATTTTTGTTGACTTTTTCTTTCTGATCCATGACTGATGGCTCCTCTGTTGTGAGAACTTGAAATTAAAGTTTGATGGTCATTATTTGWGTTAATAAAAACTTTTGGTATTTTGAACCTGCCTCAATAAATTGCAAATCTTTTCATCTGCTTTATTTCCTCTCTCAGTGTAAGTAGTTCAAGGCTTCCAGTTTCTCCTGGTCAGAAATGTAACTTTTCTTCTTTCTTCGTGCCTCGGGTGGTTCTGGTTAGTTTTTGCAGACCTGTCAGACTTGTGTTTTACCTTTCATCTTTTTTTTCTTTGTAAAACTTCCCATCTTAGCAATGCTTTAGTCTTGCTTAAATAAAAGTTATTCATTTCTTCACCCCCCTGCCTCTGGAGGCTTGCTTGTGTTTGGTTTCTCTCCCCTCCACAGCCCCATGTCTCCTGACACCCTCCKGTGCAAACATTGCTTCGTGGCACCAGGAGTGTTAATAAACCCAGAAGTTAGTTCAAATTGATTTTATTTCTTATTTGCTTGTGACATACTTTAGATGGAAAACATTCCTGGAAAACTGACACGTTTTTAATCTTCGAGTGCTGGAGACAAACAGTTGTTTCAGCAAATCTTTTGCTGACTTGAAGAAATGAACTAAAGCAGCAGCTGTGAGTGTATCCAGTAAAACACATTTAGATCTGAACATCCATCCATCCATCCATCCATCCATCCATCCATCCATCCATCCATCCATCCATC